ACACAATTTTTGCTTAGTAAATAATTAAAACCTTTTCATAGAAAAAGTCTGCATATTCTCTGGGACTTTGTTGTAAAAGCGTATATATTGCCCCATGAAGAAATTACTGACTCTGGAGTCGAGTACTAACTTGTGCTTGTTCCTAGTATTTACGGAATGTACATCACTATTTTTAATAAAACTATTTTTTTTTTTGTGTACTTAAAATAATATCTCGCAAATATATTGAAAGGCCAAAGTTAATATATTTATTTCTTTAAATTTTTCTATGCGATTCCTTCGGACCTGGGTTATAAATTGCTCTTATGGTTCTCTTTAGCAAATGGAAGATAGTTTCAATGTCAGTCGCATTACCCCATAGCAAGATTTCATATGACATTATGCTATGGAAATAACTAAAACAAACTAATCTAGCTGTTTCAACACTGGTAAGGTTTCTAATCTTTTTTACAGCCTATGCTGCAGAACTAAGTTTGCTAGCTAGTTTAGATATATGAGGGCCCCATTGAAGTGGTATATATAATAGTAAGTTCATGCTGTGGCCCATAAACATCTCCATTTCTCCTCGATTAAGACTCAAAATGCAGATGCGTTGACGACCCTGAGGACTAAGTTAGAATACCTCATTTTCAGCAAAAAGGGTCTCCAATTCTGTACACTCACCATACGAAACACAGCAGCACTAAGCTGCATTTTACGCTGGTTTTCTGTGAGAGCGTGGTCCTTGCGCGGTCGAGCCGACCCATTCGTTCTACAACCATAATGTAGATGCAGCTTGGATCTATCATGTAATTATCATAAATACTTCTTTCTTCAATTTTTAAGTCAGTGACTTATTAGCAATAGCAAGGTTGGTTATTATGGTGAATATATGACTGTGTGGCTAAGGACAACTTGATATAGTAGTCGCTGGTAATGCATACGAATCCCAAAAACAAATTGTTGGTTTCTGGTTCAAAATTACCTCCGTTCTCGACGAGTAAGTTTTACTTCGAAAACTGCTATATATGAGAAGTAAGTGCCTGATTCAGTTTTTCCATTTTCAATCGACTTCAAAAATGGGGTCCTCAATTCGTCGGAATCTCTTTTTATGTATGTTCACCGATTACTCGAAGACGCCTAAACCGATTTTGAAAATTTTTTTTTTGTTTCAAAGGTTATGCTTTCCTGGTGGTCCCATATGAATTTGATCAAGGTTTGACCATTAGTTTTTGAGTTATTCTTAATAGTTTATATTGAAGTCGGTTGTACATATAAATAAAGCGTTTTTTAGATTTATTATTTAAAATTAAAAATTTTGTACAACAGACTTCAATATCAATTATTAAGAATAACTCAAAAGCTATTGGTCTGACCTTAATTAAATTTATATGGGACCACATGTGAAACACCAGTTTTCAATTAAAAAAAGAATCATCGAATTCGGTCCACCCAGTAAAAAGTTACACACATAAAAAAACAGTCGAATTGAGTACCGTCTCCTTTTTGAAGTCGGTAGAAAATAACCAAGTACCATTAATTATATCAATATTAAGTTATTTCAAAAAAATCTTTCCGATTTTCGGATAAATTATAGCCTAGACCCCTCCTGGTATTGATCTCTATGGATTCGTGAAGTTTTGGTACATTTAGCCATTTCGAAGATTGGCCCGGGCAGACAGACAAACAAAAGTTTTAAAGTTTCTAACAGTGGTAGAGCCAGGCGGCAGCTTTTGCTGTCGCACGGATGGGCCGGCTCGAACCGGGGTGGTACCACTACCTCACAGAATACCAGCGTAAAGTAGAGGTTTACCTCTGCGTTTCGCTTGGTGAGTGCAGGTGGTCGGAGGCCCTTTTTACTGGAAATGAGGCATTCCATCCTAGTCCTCACGGGTGACAACGCATCTACATTTTGATTCGCAAACGAGGATAAATGTAGATGTCTATGGGCCACAGCAACCACTTACCATCAGGTAGACTGTGTGCTCGTTTGTCACCCTATCCTATAAAAAAATGCAAATAGCCCCTTTAGTTTACTTAAATTAATAAAAATGTAATATTAGCCGGTTATTCCAATATTACAGACAGACACTCCAATTTGTTTTTATACTTCTATACGTATCTATATATCAGATAGTAATGGTTTCCAAAAACAGATATAACTTTCTCCTACTTTTCATCGGAAATCCAAGTCTCGCGTGTCGTTTACGGCTAATTCTCCCCATTAAGACTACAGTATTCCTACTCTAGTATCGATAGATATAGTTTGCTGATCGTTACGCTTGGCAGTCGGTTTGAAGATATAGTTTATGTTTGTTTAATAACGTCATTCATTAATTACAGCCTATAAAGTCAACTGCTTCATATAGGTCTGTCCTAAATATTGCCTCATATGGGAGATTTAGCCATTGGGTCAAAATCAGTCGTTGGATTATTCTGTCAAGAAATTCACGGTAGCAGCCCGGAGCCGTTGGTCATGCGCTCGATCTCTCTCCAGTCGTGTTGGATTATAACCCGTCGGACTATGAGAGTGGGGGAATAGAGAGTGTGCCTGTGCTTGCGCATACACTCGGCCACTATAATTCTATCCTGCACAAATGGCTAGTCTCTGTTTAGACTGCTACGACGGCTCCGTGGCGCAGTGGCTTAGCAATGAGTTGCTGCGCTGGGGGCCGCGGGTTCGAATCCCGCACGGAACAAGTATTTGTATGGCCTGCAAATAATTGTTCCGTGTCTGGATGTTTGTCCTTGTGCAATTTGTGTTTGTAAACTGTCTCCACGATACAGGAGAAAATCCTAGTGTGTGGGTAACGTTTAAAAAAAAAGAATTAAAGGACTGGCCGCCGTGACCTGTATTAGGTCTGGAGGACATTTTGAGTTATTCTCAGGAAGATGCTGCTGTCCAGTTCCTACTTTAGTTTTCCTCTGTCGCCTTATACATGGCATGATATAGGGTAGTGGATATTCTTTCATCGTCACTACATGACATTACACGTAATCGAGTCACGCTGTAGCTATATTATGCTTGTAGCGTGGTCGGTAGGACCAAGCTTTCATAGAATACCAGTGAGAAATAGCAGCTTAATACTGCTGTGTTTCGTATGGTGAGCGTAGAGAACCGGAGATCCTTTTTACTGGAAGCAAGGCAAGGGGTGACAACGCATTTGCACTTTGATTCATGAGAATAAAAGTAGTGGTATATGAGCCACAGCATTCACTTACCATCAGGTGTACTGAGAGCTCGTTTGTCAACCTTATTAAAAAAAAAACAATTTTAGTTATTTTGTCTATGAGATCTTGACGTGATATTATGGACAAATGGTTCTCGCAAAATTTCTTTATTACGTGGATGTTGCTACGCTCCGTTAATCTCTTGAAAATGGTACAGATAAAGTTCAGGGGTCAGGAAGCGGTCGGGTCAGGGTAACAAATCTCTAGTTAAGCATTCCGTGCACTCACGCCGCCAGGTCACGCGATGCGCTGATTGCTTCGGATTGAGTTTCATGTGTGGTGGGCATTACATTTGATTTGGTTGGTTGGGCTTAATGTTAGGTCCCGATTCTGATTTGTTGGCTTCCCTTTTCATTTATTAAATGTATGACGGTTGCAGCTGTAATGCTATTGTTCACTTAATTAAGATTCTAGCTTACTACTCAATATAAGATAGTAACTTAAACCTTAGTTTGTGTATATAAATGCTGCTATGTTTCGTATGGTGAGTGTAGAGAACCGAAGACTGTTTTTACTGGATACGAGTCCATATCCATCAATATTAGTCCTAAGGGGTGACGAAGAATTTTAATTTTTAATCGAGGGTAGATGTAGATGTCTATGGGCCACAGCATCCACTTACCGTTCGATGGACTATGAGCTCGTTTTTCATCGTTAATCTATAATGAAATTAAAAAAAATATTCTCTATCCTATACATTCATAGACTGTTATGAAAACCTAATATTTCAAATGTATTACCGGCATGTACATATGTAACTCTCGCAAATATACTCTGAGATATGTTGATGCCATATAAATCTTTTTACGGAGCAGTGTCAATAATAATTTTCTGAGTTATCCACTTTCTGTCTCACCATCGTCTTTACTGATATTATTTTCATATTATAATTTTTTTACCATGTAGATATTAAGTCGTTTGGTTTTTTATTTTAATAATAAAGTTCAAATAGTAAATACTCGACGATAAGGAGATGTAAGAAGTAATTCTTTATATAACCGCATTCGTGGTGCAACGCGCTGATACATACGTGACTCTAACGATGGAAAAATTACAGCAGAGCTCGGCATTACCAGCTCTAAGGTCAGATCCTTTGCGGTGGTAATGTTGGTAATACTTACCAAATCTTCTTGTAAATTATGCCAGTTTTCGCATTCTTCAATAGTCTACTAACAGGGCTTAAGATAGATTGTATAGGTAGAGTAATATTAAGTTATAAGTGTTACGTGGTAGAACCATGCTGCAGCTATATTAGTAGTATAGTTGTAGCACGAATGGGTCGGCTCGACCGTGGAAGGACCACACTCTCACAGAATACCAGCGTAAAATAGCAGCTTAACAGTTCTGTGTTTCGTATAGTGAGTGTAGAGAACCGGAGACCATTTCTATTGGAAAAGAGGCATTCCATCTTAATCCTCACGGGTGACGACGCATCTGCATTTTGATTCTTTATTGAGGATAGATGTGGATGTCTATGGGTCACAGCAACCACTTACCATCAGGTGGACTGTGTGTTCGTTTGTCATCCTATCCTATAAAAAAAATACGTAATTATAAATCATTTTTCATATTTCAATCATTTATTATCGCCTGTGATAGTCCATTGATGGACAAAGGTCTCCTTCCACGTGTAAGCAAGTTGGCATTCGCAATTTTTTTTATTTTATACATGTTATTATGCACACGCCGCTGGCCATCTTCTCATTTGTTCCTCCTACGACAGGAAGCAAACAAGCGAGCGGTAAGGCAGCACAGGGTAAACTCATTATCTACTATTTTTTTTGTCTTAGGAGGCGTTTGGCGAAGGTGGTTGGCCATTGGAGTTCCGAGCGGCTGTGGCCAGACTGCTCTCACAACATGCACCAAACGACAAAGAAGCGCCTCGAACTACACCGCTACGTAAGTGCTAGGATCGTCTGTTACTATAGTTAGGAACATAGATGATAATATATTGTATGTAATCATAAATATATAAAATATTAATATACTAGCAGTTCCCCGCGACTTCGCGCGCGTTACTGTTGGATTTCATGGGTTTTAATTTATATGCGCGGAACCCTAACTCTTTTACTTAAATAAAAGTAGCCTAAGTTATTCCTTATAACTTCAGCTATCTGCCAGTGAAAATCCCGTCAAAATCGGTACAGCCGTTTCGGAGATCATCCGGAACAAACAGACAGACAGACAGGCAAACAAAAATTTTAAAAACTGTGTTTTGGTTATAAGTACCGTAGTATATACGTTTATATGTATTTAGTAAGAAGCTGTTATTTTGACATTACAAACAGACACTTCAATTTTATTTATTTGTATAGAGTATAGATAAAAAAATCAGTGCTAAAAGCAAGTCGAATAAGTCGAATAAAGTAACGGGTGTGTGTATATCAATGTAGATTTCAGACGTGGCACTTACCTATTTTATATGTTTACATATTATATGCGTTTCTTTGTTTGTTCGTATTCGTTTTTATACCATTAATCCGATTAGTATGAAACTTTGGCGAATTGTTTTGCCCGCGTCTACGAATGTTTCTGACAAGTGGTAAAGTAAAAAAAAAAATGTTGTACAACCGACTTCAATATAAATTATTAAGGATAACTCAAAAACTATTGGTCAGACCTTAATCAAAGTATATGGTGATATATGGGACCACATGAGAAGCACCGGCTTTCAACTAAAAAAAGAATCATCATTATCGCCATTTTTACTTTTGTACGTGGTAGAGCCATGCTGCAGCTATATTAGTAGTATAGTTGTAGCACGAATGGGTCGGCTCGACCGGGGTAAGCACCGCGCTCTCACAGAATACCAGCGTCAAATAGCAGCTTAACACTGATGTGTTTCGTATGGTGAGTGTAGAGAACCGGAGACCCTTTTTACTGGAAAAGAGGCATTCCATCTTAGTCCTCACGGGTGACAACGAATCTGCATTTTGATTCGCAAACGAGGATAGATGTAGATGTCTATGGGCCACAGCAACCACTTACTATCAGGTGGACTGTCTGCTCGTTTGTCACCCTATTCTATAAAAAGAAAATCGATTCACCTAGAAAAAAGATATGAGGTAACCCACATAAACAAAAACATACATTCAATTTGAGTACCTTCCCCTTTTTGAAGTCTGTAGAAAAGGCATTGCATCGGGATGGTTATGGCCGGGTACAACCAGTTATTACTGGAAGTATTGCGTCGAATAAGATCTGTGAAGTGAGGAAGATATATGCAAGAAAACCTCCTGGAGAAGGGAGGCCAGACAAGTGCAATCATTGAGGAGGGCAAGACCCACCAAGGGTTATAGCGCGACAGGATAATGATGATGATTATTCAAATATGTCATTGCTCCCGTTTGCCTTTCAAGCCTCATCGCTTCTCGACCGAATTTCAATCACGGCGACCAGCATGAAGTTCGGTCTGAAGGACATTATTATCTCATTTTTTTTTTCGTTCGTCCTTATTATAGAAAGTTTCAAAGGGGAACTTTAAGTTTAAGCTCAAGTAATATTATAAATTATATGAATATTTTTTTCCCCAGGCCTAAGCAACCAACGTCTGGATCAGAACATATCGGAGACCATGGTACTGGACCTGATTGTCCTCGTGGGTTTCGTCGTGGTCAACAACCCACAGCTGCAGGTGAGTTGTTTTATTTATTTATCTCACAATTAGTTCCTATTCAGGTAAAAAGGTATTTATATGGAATTGAAATTTCATATTCATATTATTTATTGCATCCATAATGTTACAGTTAAGGTGTTGAGAACATTTTAAGTTTTAACTTAAAACTATGAGATCATTATGGGTCCTGCAGGGCACGGCAATTAAGAGAGAGGAGGGTCATTATAGTGAAACAATAATGATAAATACACTTTGAAATAAAAATAGAATTGAAATACTAGGTAATTATTTAAAATTTATCATTTAAGTATTCGTTTAGTGTGTAGTAGTGTTTACAGATTAAAAAATCTGTAATTTTATTTATAAAATGAGTTTCTTTTCTATATTTTTTATCGAGTCTGGGAGGGAAAAATTTTGATAGACATGACGAAGGGACCTGATAAATGTAGTTTAAGGCGAGATATGGGTAGAGTCAGTTTTTCTTTATGGCGTAATTGGTATCTGTTATTGCTACGTAGGTCACACAATAAGTTTTGAGAGGCTCGAAATTCAAATGATTTTAAATTTGGTTTAACTGAACAATTAAGTTTACAACGGTTACAATCAGCATTAGGGGGGGGGGGGGGGGGACTCAGCTCCATCACGCGCAACATTTTTAGGTGGTTTGCTGAATGTAAACAGCAGTAACGGTAGAAAATGTATGCACTACTGAAATGGTGGTACGAGAAGACCAACGAATCACATATACGGACATCGAACAGATTGTAGGCATTAGTTCAGGGAGCATTCATACCATCCTACATCAACATCTTGGAGTGAGGAAGCTTTGTTGTCGATGTATCCCTCGTTTCCTCTTCGAAAGCGAAAAATAGACTCGTGTCAAAAGAACTAAAGCATTCATTGAGGAATCTGGAGTTGAAAGTCTAAGTCACACAACCTTCAGCCCTGACTTAGCTTCTTGAGATTTCTTTTTGTTCCAAGAGTCAAAGAAAAAATAAAAGGCGAGTTTTTTTCAAGCGCCGAAGAAACCGTGGCTGCCTACGAAGAAGCTGGGACATATCATCGGCAAACAGCACACAGGGTTCTTCAAGGCTCATCGCTTAAAATTTCTTTTAAAATAACTTGAAGTTGTTTTTTTTTTCCTTATATTTAATCATAATTAATTACTTTGACTTACCTTTGTTAGCTAAGTAGTTTTAATTCAGATGCATGTACCGGGTGGATGGGTAGAATTTGGCAATACTTTTAAAAATGTCAAATTCACAATGCAAAAAATTTAAAAAGTATTTCATTTAGAAAATCGTTACCCCTACACTAGGAGAGTTTCTCCTGTTTTTTTTTTTTTATATAGGATATGTTACAAACGAACACACAGTCCATCTGATGGTAAGTGGATGCCCTCACCCATAGACATCTACATCTATCCTCGTTTGCGAATCAAAATGCAGATGCGTTGTCACCCGTGAGGACTAAGATGGAATGCCTCTTTTCCAGTAAAATGGGTCTCCGGTCCTCTACACTCACCATACGAAACACAACAGTGTTAAGCTGCTATTTTACGTTGGTATTCTGTGAGAGCGTGGTCCTTCCCCGGTCGAGCCGACCCATTCGTGCTACAGCTATACTACTAATAGCTGCAGCATGGCTCTACCACGTATAATAGTAGTGTAAATTAGAATATAGTGTTTATATTTTAGAATTTCTATTTAATTGTCATATTATGTGGGTGGTGTACTTATTTAATTATGTAATAGGATATCAGAGTGCATTTATTCGCCAACAAACTGTTTTACCGTTTGGCGAAGTTATAAAATTATGTAATGTTTTTGTAAATATTAGTAAATAAAAAAAAATTATAACGAGGAATACTGATCAAATATATTGTTATAATTTTATTATCTAAGGAAATGTTTTAGTGACAACCCTAGTATATTTTTAACGACTAGACGTCGAGACAGCCTTGTAGTTATTTTGCGGTATAATAAAGGAGTTGACCCACTACTTGTATTTATTACACATTTTATGCTAGTTTGGAAATTTCGCCATTTGCATCGTAGAAAAGCAGCTTTAAATGTAATGACCTTTTCATTTGTAACGAGATAAAGACTATTTGCAATTTAATTGTTAATATAACCAAGACCAAGTGCGGGACAGCGGTTGTATTATTTAAAAAAAAAAATCTAATTTCCGTTGACCAACGTATCGAATGTTAATAGTCTGAGGCCAGTTACGTTCCCATGCGGGCCCCACCTGCGTTACACGTGTACTGGTGAATGTATCAAAATTCTTGTCCTTGTCTTGTTCGTTTGTTTGCATTAATGTGCTAAAGAACAGAAAATAATAGTTTACAATGGTAAATATATAGTGTGAATTAAAAAAAATCACTTGCAAAGACAATTAAAGTGAGAGTTTAAAAAGTTCCATTATTTGGTTCTCCACAATGGAGTTTAATGTGATCACATCCGTCAGATATTTGATTAAAATACAAGTAAAGATTTCTTTACTATAAAGAGCACATTAGCTGTATTCATAAAACTTTTAACCGACTTGAAAAAGGAGGAGGTTCTCAATTCGATGTATGTGAACAAATTTTGATGATTCTTTTTTATTAAATTGTTTATAATTCAAGGTTGGTTCCCACATAAACTTGGTGAAAAAATTCCACTCCCTAAAGATAGCAAATAAATAACTTTTTTTTAGCAATTTGAAGTTGGTTTTTACTGTTTGTCAAAAGTGATAATTATTATCTGAGTATAAGAAAAGTCGGCTAAGGCTCAGACTTGCAAAAGCATAAATAAAAAATGAAATTCCCTCTTTCGTTCCATTTTGGGCCCTTTAAGTGACGACACTACCACTTAAGAAGTTCCCACGGGCACAGGTGTATCTAGGTAAGCAGTTGTTAAGGGAAGTGTTCTAGGAGCGTCATTGTTTCTTGTACACGGTGTTCGCATTTGGGGTGGCTGACCATTACAATGAATAATTTATTTCGTTTCCGAGTTAATAGTCAATTAGGTTGCTTGTAGTGACAGATGCGATCGACCATAGAAGTAATAAAGAGTTTACTTGTGAGGTACACTTTCACAAGACATCTATACATAATAAAATTGAACGATCTTTTGTTTATTTTTGAGATAACTTTTTTTTTATAAAATACACCACCTAATTGTAAGTTTAACGTGGTAGAGCCGTGGTGCAGCTATATTACTGGTATAGTTGTAGCACGAATGGGTCGGCTCGACTGGGGAAGGACCACACCCTCACAGAATACCAGCGTAAAAGACCAGCTTAACGCTGCTATGTTTCATATGGTGAGTGTAGAGAACCGGAGACCCTTTGAACTGGAAACGAGGCATTCGGTCTTTGTCCTCAGGGGTGACAACTCATCTACATTTTGATTCTTTATTGAGGACAGATGTGGATGTCTATGGGTCGCAGCAACTACTTACCATCAAGTGGACTGTGTGCTCGTTTGTCACCCTCATCGTATTAAAAAAAAGTGTATATTGTGGTTCATAGGCATGTTCATCTATCCTCGACGAAGAATCAAAATGCAGATGTGTTGCCCCTGAGGACTAAGGTGGAATGCTTCATTTCCAGAAAAAAGAGTTTCCGGTTCTCTACATTCACCATGCGAAACACAGCAGCGTTAAGCTGCTATTTTACGTTAGTTATTTGTGAGAGCGTGGTCCCTCCCCGGTCGAGCCGACCCATTCGTTTGTTTTTTTTTATAGGAGAGGGGGCAAACGAGCATGCGGCTCACCTGATGGTAAGTGACTACCGCCGTCCATAAACAATTGCAACACCAGGGGAACCAGGGGAATTGCAGATGCGTTGCCGGCCTTTTAAAAAGGTGTAGGCTCTTTTCTTGAAGGTCCCTAAGTCGTATCGGTCCATTACGGTAATTGTGGAATATCTAACTACTATATAATTAATTTGTAAACTATACCAGGCGATAGTTTGTATATGAATATAAAGTAAGACTGTTGTTGGCATTAAGCATTATTTAAGAATTTCTTTTTATATTATAACGTGCATGTTTTATGATCAGTAAAGAAAAACAAAGAAGTGTGCGCTGAGATCTGAGCATACCATTATGTATACGTCAATAATTATTTTTTAAAATGAATGTGTCTGTTCGTGTGCTAATCTTTGAAATGGCTGAAACCAAATGTGTTATTTTTCTATTCGAAATATTTATGCTAATTCAATGAAAGTATATTTAATACTTTTAGCCGTTTAATAAAAAAAGCAATATATTATGTATAAAAAATATTGTAAAACGACTTTACGACCGACAAAGAGTAATGTTAGGGGCTATATTTTATCCCAAACTTGGAGATATTTTTTGGAAAAACATTGATTATTTTAAACATAATTAACGCCACACTCATATATACTACTCTGGCAAAGCAGGGGCGGGTCGCTAGTCTATACTTGTATACAAATAAATAAAATTAAAGTGTCTGTTTGTAATGTCATAATAACAGCTTTTTACTAAATGTATATGAAAGATTATACGGGACTTATAACAAAAACACTATTTTTAAAATGTTTGTCTGTCTGGCTGTATATTTGTTCCGATTTGATTTGGACGATACTTTCACTGGCAGGTAGCTGATGTTATAAGGAGTAACTTAGGCTCCTTTTATTTTAGAAAATGATTTATATTATATTGTATATATAATATGTATTGTTGCAAAAACCCAGGAGACAATTTGTGAGGGCTGGAGCGTGATCAGGATGCTGTGCACGCTGCCGGCCAACTGGCTGGTGTCGCGCGCGCACAGCCACGCGCTGCTGCCCACGCTCGTGGCGCTGGCCGAGCGCCCCGCCACCGCCGCCGCCATCGCCGCCGAGTTCAGCGTCCAGGTAGTGACCTGCTCACATCACCAACACATTTTTTTATACGATAGGGTGACAAACGAGCACACAGTCCACCTGATGCTAAGTGGTTGCTGTGGCCCATAGACATCTACATCTATCCTCAATAAAGACTCAAAAACACTCACTATTTGAACATTGTTTTTGATGTGAAACATGTATTGACGTGGCGTAAAACCGACACGTATGCCGTGACGGCAAATAACATGATGCTCTCTAATGCCGTCATGCCTCCTCTTTGCCACCGCTCTTGATTTATATTTTTTTTTGTAATTATGGGTATTCATATAATATTTTCATCTGGATGAGCTTAGTAAATATAAAAAAGAAAATATTGAAAATACATTAAATACATTAAATACAGTGAAATAAATAAATAATACATAAATTAATAAAAACATGTGAAGTCCACCAACATGCATCGGGGCAGCGCGGCGAACTTTTCCTAGCCCTAAATTACCTTCTCAGAAATGAGAGGAGGTCTGTGTCGAGGAGTGGAACATATATAGCCTGTAACATTTTACCTTTAAAAATTATTAAAGTTAAAAGAAAAAAAAAACTATTATTCATAAATACAAATGTGTGATGAAATACTTTACAAAACTAAAATTCACTAAAATTCACAGATGCTCTGCGAATACATGGAAAGCCCCGAAGCACAAAAGGTGAAATTGGTTCAGGTGATCAAACAAGGACGTAACAAGAAACACGCTGGTAAGAAATAAATTCTAGAAAGTACTAGAAAGCCAACTGGAACCGACGGAATAGATTTATCTCATGTAATCTGGTCTATAACGGCGTTGAAAAAAAGTCCAGCGCCATATCTGTTTGATTGATTGCGGCTGTGGTTCTACGAGTGTTGGACGACACGTGGTTCTTAAACTGAAATATTGTTATCTCTAACACAAACTACGCAACATAAATTACATTAACAGGTGTTACTTTTGTTGAAAGTTGTTGCGAACTTGCCATTGTTTCTTTAGAAAGCCGATTTGTAACGGTTTCTATTCTGTTTGTGTATTGCAACTGAGTAGTGTCCGACCAAAGGTCGAATTCTGACCGAAGCCGAATCTGATTAATCAGCTATATATAAGCCGAAGGCTTAAAAACCCTAATAAATTCAGTTCAGGATTAGCAAATATTAATAATTTTAGAATAAGGTTTATATCGACTGTATAATATAAAAAGGTAATTTTTATAATCTCTAGAAATTGATCTGGAGATGATACAAATTGCGTTGCCACATCCATCGCGCTCATTTTTGAACAGTTCGTTCAATTTTAGAGCTTGCTAGAAACCTTCGGTTTCGGCCAAAGCTTCGGCCCATTTTGGCCGCAGCCGAAGGTTTCGATGAAGGTGGTTTTTTGACCGAGGGTAGCCGAAACCGAATCCCAAGCCGAAGCTTCGGTCGGACACTACGATTGAGTGAACCACAGCTTGAATACGAATTTATTAGGGGCAAAGTTATCCTTGTCAATGCAATGTGTATCTTGCGTAGTTAAGTAACGCGCATATGATAAATTATTCGATGTAGCGGAATGTATTTCTTGTGCGGATAAATTTGTTAACTGTCTGACTTTTGATTAAATCATTTCAGTTGAATCTCTGAAATATCTATAGTTACTATTTTACTGTTAGATTTTGTTTTATCATCATATTCATTATTAATTCATTGAATCAGGCGTTACTTTACGGAAATCCATTATATTAAAGATGTTTACTAGTTTGAAGGTACATCCCGCTCTCTCTCAATTGCAGCCCAACAATACTACATCAGGAAAGATAAATTAACGTCGGTAATATGACACGTGTTTCGCCTCAAAACGAGGTATCCTTAGGTGAACTAGACACCGTGGTGGCTGAATTATTGATTAAAAGTACTTCTACGTTGTGTGGTGTTTTCCTTGAAATGGGGTGTAGCCGATATGAAAAATATTTAAAAAAAAATTATTTGGAATTTCATTGAGGAATATTTTAGAAAGGGTAAATTTTATGATGTTAAAAGTATCAATTGACGATTGTCAGACTGTTAACAAATTTATAACGTAAAAAACAGTGTTGTGTAAAATTATCGTTATCTGTAAGCATTTGATGTTCCCCGCGTTGCGTAGCCAGCTCTCCTAACTATTTTTTCTAATTTCTTTAATCAACTCGAGATACTAGTAATACTATCAATTTATTTTTATCTGTAACACGTACTAAAAAGATTTAATGATATTTATTTTTGGATAACTATTGGTAAATTTATTTATAATAAATTATTAGATTTCTTATTAATTTTTTACTAAATCTTCGAGACTGAAAGTTTCAATAGAACGTAGATATAAAATAGAACCCCTTGTAATTGTGGAATCTTTCATCTGTCCAAATATATCGTTATAATGTAATCAGTATATAATGCAGTAAACTGTTGTTTTCTTAATATATACATAAATGTTGTCACCATGTATGTTTGATGTTCTTATTGTAGTTAGTCCAAAAACTGTACCGTGTAGTCTTTTTGATGTCGCTATACAATTTTTCTATGGATGTAGTTTGAAAACCAACTGTTAAAACCTTCAGTATTTCAAGAATGAAATTTATTTCAACGTGACATTTGACTCGGAACTATTGACTGGAACGGGCTTTGAAACGCGTCTTTGTGATTGGATTTAAGAATTTTGTTATAAGAAAGATTCGGTCACTTCAAGTTGTAATAAATTTCAAATTTCTGCTGCTGCTTCTTCTTTGAATGTACTCTAAAATCATTAATGTGTTGATTGAACAATATGTGGAATTTCTGTTGTCTCATTTACGATTACGATTCTGTTATAATTTGTTTCGCTGTTGGAATAAGAAGGAATGCGCATATGATTTAAAAGAAAGGTGTGCTAAAAGTGTACCTTGAGAGGCACCTATATAAAATAAAAAGAGGGGGGAGGGGTTTAAATTAATCTAAGTATTAAAATATAGGAACGCTGTGATAAAAGTGGAAAAAAAAATAATTCGTCGAAAAGAAAAAGGGTTTTATACTTAAATAAAGGTAAGTTGTTGCGACGCACACTATCAAAAGCTTCAGCCGGTTAGAGCACGGAATAAATTGTCTCGTATGTTTGTTTAAATTTAGTTTCGTGATGAATTTCCATTATTATTAAAACTGTGATTATTATTTATTAGTTTAACTGCCACATATTATGTATATTTAATTGTTTTCCTTAAGTTATTGTAACACGATACTAAGTCTTGGGAGTATTTCATCTGTGATTTCTTTCATTTAGCGTTTAATAACTTTCGCGTGGAACTTTCATTGTGTATTTTTGTGTAAGCAAGAAATAAATATTTGTGTAACAATGACATAATGTTTTTATTTATATGCCTCATCCTCTCCTTTACCGTTCATTGGCAGGGAAGAATATCCACTACCCCATATTGTCCTGTGGTAGTCGTGAAATGCGACAGAGGGAGACTGAAAGAGAAGATGGGCCACCATATACTTAATAACAACTCATATGTAAAATAGAACTGCGGTTGCCAACCCGCCTGCCAGGCGTGGCCTCTATGGCAATTTATAAGGGAGGCATTTGTTCGGCAGTGGACTTTTATAGGCTGTAGTAGATATAATGGATTCCCTCCTATTCATAAATAATTCTTCGCTTCAGTGCAGTGCAGTGTTTCATTACTAATAAAGCGCCTTGATGACATCAACATTGTAATCGGATGGAAAGTCAGATGCTGGTGCTCATATATCAACCTTATATTATTAAAAAAAAGTAGTTTTTCTGTTTTTCTTTCTTTCTCTCTTTGTTTTCTCTTTCTTTGACAACAGTAACATGATGAGATCAGACTTCTATGTACGAGTATATAGAAGACTGATGTAAGTATATTTTCATTTTGAGAGGTACGGAGAAAAGTTGCTATCTGTAAATGAGCTGAGTGATAATAGCTATAAGTATTTCCGTTTAAAAATGGCAGACCCCAAGCCCCGAAGAGTGGTGATTGAAGGAATGTTACCAGCGCGAGTTTTTGTTTTTAAATTATTAGTATCACCAATGATTGATACTTAACTACATCGATAAACACATTTATGAAAGACTTAATTGTAGATTGATTTTATAACATTAAAGTGCCCGTGTAGTGGCGGATAAGAATACCCACTACCCCATATCTTCCCGTAGGTATCGTAAGAGGCGACAGAGGGAAACTGAGGCAGAAGATGAGCGGCAGCATCTTTCAGATAACCAACAAACGACTATAAAAAACTGCGGTTGCCAACCCGCTCGCCAAGCGAGGCAACTATGGCATTATACCCCCATGATTAAAGTTGCGAAGAGATGGCCCCCAGTTCCCTGCGGCCCCGCTATTCCTGGCTGCGGTGGCGACCATGGTAACGGCGGGGCAGAGGGTGCTGAGTATCTCCGGTGGAGGTTCAGTCGCCACCTAAGACGACTCGACCTGGCAACATATAACGCACGCACCTTTAGAACTGACGAGAAGATCCTGGAACTGGAAGAAGAGACAGACAAGTTGTTGATTATCTAAAGTCCGAAGAGAGGGGGAGAACGTGGGAATCCTCGAATCCGGCAACTTGTTCTATCACCGGGAGGGCGATCTGTCCCAAGGAGGTGTCAGATTTATCGTCCACAAGTCTCTCGTTAACAACGTTGTAAAGATTGAGAGTGTATCGATGAGGGTTGCGTATCTTACACTCCGAATCATCAAACGGTGTTCGCTGAAGTTCATACAGGTTTATGCACCAACCTCGGCACATCCCGATGAGGAGGTGGAGGAAATGTATGAGGATATATCTAGAGCCATGCATTCCTCCGAAACCTACTGTACGCTGTTAATGGGAGACTTGAACGCAGAACTAGGCACAAGAGAGAACGGTGAGCTAAAGGTAGGGAAATTTGGAATAGAGCAACGGAATCCAAGGGGCCAGCAGCTGGCCGACTTCACGGAGAAAGAGGGAATCTTTATGATGAACTCTTTCTTCCAGAAGCGGCCCCACAGGAAGTGGATCTGGTCGATTCCGACGGTTCGACTAAAATGAGATTGACTTCATTATGGCGACCAGACGACAACTGTTCAGTGATGTCTCACTGATCGCTAGGGTGAAAACCGGTTGCGATCACCGAATGGTGAGAGGTACACTGAACCTAAACGTTAAGTTAGAGAGGTCTCGTCTAATGAAGTCAATACTCAGTCAACCTCGTAATCTAATCCAAAGTCTTAAAACCTTTCAGCTCGAGCTACAAAACCGTTTTCAGTGCCTAGAAGATTGCAATGCAGTGGACTATATGAATGACAAGCTCGTGGAAACTGTCGTAGTGCGAAATTAAAGAGCTTCTGAAGGACTTCAGAAGCTCTTTAATTTCGCACTACGCTGGAGGCGTGGAACAGAAGTGCGGTGGTCTTGTTCTTCACGAAAGGCGACAACGCTCTCTTGAAGAATTACAAACCGATTTCCCTTCTGAGCCGCGTCTACGTGCTGTTTACGAATCGTCTCGCATGCAGACTCGACGACTTCCAGCCTCCTGAACAAGCCGGTTTCCGAAAGGGCTTTAGCACCATAGACCACTTACATACCCTTCGGCAAATTGTACAGGAGTCCGAGGAGTACAATTTGCCACTATGTCTGGCATATGTGGACTATGAGAAAGCCTTTGATTCCGTCGGAATTTGGGAGGTGCTGCAGTCCCTTCAGGGGTGCCAAGTTGACTGTCGGTATATCGAAGTGCTGGAGTGC